ACATCTCATTTCATTGTCAGCATTGGATAACAACTGTTCACTAAATTTAGGTCAAAAACTGAACGATTTTTGGTTTAGGTCTTCATTTGAACCATATTTGACATTCAATGTCTAATCTAAAAAATTGTCAATTGTTTCACCTATATAATTATAAAACTTTAAATTACAATTCTGTGAGCAATGAATCATAAACTTACGATATGTTTGTCTTAATTATAAATTCATTACCGGTGCAGTACTGTACATCTGTACTATTTTTACAGTACTCATGTACTTAATGTGAACACATTTTAGTCAAATTGTTTAAAATATAGTTGACAACAATTTACAACAAAAATTAAATCTGTTAATAAAACGGGCTTTCATTTAATCAATAAAATATAACTTTATTTAAATCATTTTTTGATGTATTTGACAAATTATTCAAAAGTACAATTACAGGCATTCAGATTAACAAATGATAATTAATTTGTCTCTTGTTTTATATTACATTTAATTTTAATCAGATTTTTGGCTTAAATTAAAGTTTACTTATTTCTAATGAAATACTCGAATAATAAGTGATTTTATTACATAATAGCTGTTATGGAAAGTGTGTTCAAAACAAACATAACTATTTTTAAAAAATTATAAACAAATTATCATCTAAATCATAAACCGTTAGATCTATCATTTCTTAACCAAACAATTAATTAATATAACTATTTTTAGAAAATAAAATATTTTAAACTTCATATGTAATTACAATGTGTTTGTGTTTCTAAACATTTTCGTATTCTTCAGATTTTATATTAATTTTTATAACAAATCTCTATATTATAATGAAATTCATTGCATGTTTCGAAACGAAAATGTTTTATGAATAATCTCTAACAGAAAATTCCCAAAAATTAACAATAATTATAATAATATTAATCAGATCTTAAATGTTTTTCGTATAATTTAAAGGGATATTACATAAGAGACAATAAGTTATAAGTTATGTATAAAAAAGTGGAAAATATTTTTCATTTAAAGAGTTTTAGATAAAAGTTAAACGAAACCGTAAAATAGATACAAAAAGCAAATATCAATTGATGTCAGCTTTGGAGGCAAAATGATTGAAAAAACGCCAATATATTGAAGGCTACAGCAAAAAATTATTGGCACAAAAAATAGGTCTCGTATTTTGTGCACAATTACTGTAAACATAACTATTGTATTGAATAATAGCAATAAATATGAGAATCAATGAATGAATAAATATTTGGGCAAACAGTTGGGGTTTAGTATTCATTTAGGCTTTAAATGGCAGTCACTATTGTGTGGTTTAAATATATACTAAATTAGTTATAGTTATCATTCATTAATCAAATAAAGCATAGAAATACTGTTTTTCATTTGGATGAAAAATTGTTTGAAATACCAATTTACAAAATACAGCGACAAATATTAAATCAAACGTCAAGAATAATTAAGAGAATAAATAATACCTAACATTGAAATGACTGAAAGTCAAGAATAATTAGTAAATTCTTTAAGAATAGGAATCAATATATAGCTCGAAATGGTGTGAAATGTATTCAATATGTATTTAAATGGCTGTGAGTTTAGGATAGTTATGACTAAAACTCGTGAATATATATTTTGATTGCGATACTAATCCGCAAACAAAATTGCTTTTATGTTAATAAAAAATAATACCAAATGTTTTGCAAAAACTAATTCACTAATTGCGTTATAAAACATTTCCTATACTTTATTACTTGTAATATAAGTCGTTTAAATTATTATATTTTAGAGAAAGCACTNATCAGATCATATACTATCCGCCCGATTACGGACAGTATGTCGAGCCGATCAACCAAAAGATCTATACAGTGGTCGACCGCAGTGTGTTGGACACCGGCAACAGAACGGCGTGGAGTTACCGGACACGGATGGCCATCAACCCCGAGACCAATATGATCACCAAGAATACCGACTTCATCATCAATAGTCGCTATTTAGGTTATCCCGCGTTCATCAAAGCCATGGCCTTCCTTCCCATCGCAGCCGGTATTTATGAAACACTTTTTGTTTTATTAGTTTTTTTTGCTTACAATTGCTTTTTACTATTACAACGAATAGTGAATTTTTATATTTTGGTTGCATTAGAATTATGTCGTTAATAGTAACGACAATTCGTATGAATTTTTAAATTCAATCACATTGTTATACCATATTTTTATTACATTATACTTAAATAGTACAGTATATATTTTGTATAAAATAATGTATAATCTAATAAACAATAATCGATTGCTTGGTCTTATGCAATGTCTGAATAATAATAAATTTATTGCATGTATAATTGAAAGTCTAATTATAATTGATAATGTAATGATAGGTTTCATACTGTTCTTCACCCTTATCTACCAATACGGACGCTTTCCGCCCAAAACGGACGTCTCGGCCGGCGGTCGCCTCAAGAAGCGGCACTCGAGTTGGCGTCGGGAGCGCCGGGACTCGCGTCTGGGCGGCTATATATCGTGGCGCGGGATCACTATATACGGCGGCAAACCTACGCTTCGCAAGAATGAGTTCACATAACTGTCGGACAGTATTATCGAGTAATATATTCACGAATCAAAAGCATTTTCTGCTCTCAATATTCAATTATTTTACACAAAAACAAAACCTCTTTTTTGATACGCTTTTTATACACACAACTCGTTGTGAGAGGAATTGATTTCCAATATTTTGCCTCTCGTTTGGAGTTTGAAGTCTATTATTATTTAATGAATTCAGTATTTGTTGAAATTGTCATTTTTACCAATTCATGAATTGCCCAAACAATTGGTTTGATTTTTTGTTTCAAAATGTTTTGTTTTTTGTTTAGTTTTTAAGTATTAATTTATTTGTTTTGTTCGCATTTAATTCAATAATTGCTTTTTAATAATAGTTAATCGTTTCTAATTAGTGGTGATTATAATTATTATTAACTTTTTGAGTTAAACTATTGTTTTTAGATGTTTTAATTACTTGTATTAAATTATTATTAGTCTTTTTATTATTATTTATTATTATTGAACACTTATTCTAATCATTCATTAAGTTTTTTGGTTAGCAATTAAAATATTGATTTGACTTTCATTTGGACCAAACATCTAAAGCGCATACAATTCTGTATTATTTTTGTATTACTTGTGAACAAAACCCTCCCAAACATGATATCCCATCCATTCGTATGTGTTATATATGTTTCAGACAACGAATTAATATAAGAATAGCTTTTTTTAATTTGTCGCAAACTTTAGGCACAAAACCATTTGATATAATAAACATTATATGACTGCTGTTCTCTTAGCCATTAAATAAATAGACATTTAAGCGCACCGGTAGTGTTAATATGTATTGGAGCTGTTGTGTTAGTATCAGTTTCAGAGAGACTTAGAAAGACATATCGAAACCGCAATGTTGTAAATGTTATAAAATTTATTTCTAAACATAAAATCGTATTTTTATAATATGTTAGAAATAAGAGATTTAGAAATATTGTAAATATAGGAAAGAATATGACGACTAAACTGTACTGTAATGAAAGGGAACAGTAGTTACACGATGTTGTGTCTATGCTATCAATTCAAAGTGCTTTCTCTAAAATATAATAATTTAAACGACTTATATTACAAGTAATAAAGTATAGGAAATGTTTTATAACGCAATTAGTGAATTAGTTTTTGCAAAACATTTGGTATTATTTTTTATTAACATAAAAGCAATTTTGTTTGCGGATTAGTATCGCAATCAAAATATATATTCACGAGTTTTAGTCATAACTATCCTAAACTCACAGCCATTTAAATACATATTGAATACATTTCACACCATTTCGAGCTATATATTGATTCCTATTCTTAAAGAATTTACTAATTATTCTTGACTTTCAGTCATTTCAATGTTAGGTATTATTTATTCTCTTAATTATTCTTGACGTTTGATTT